CACGTTCGTGTCACGATGAAAGGGTGGGCGAAGGTGTGTGGACGTTCGAAAGGGGTGGACTACGTTTCGTACCACTCATTACGAACACCCGCACCCTATATTTTGTATTGACTGAATACGGGGCCTGTAGGAGGATAACTATAAAGAAGTCTGAGACTAATCCAAGGGAACAACTAATGCAACGAAGGTTTCGCAGCTATGGATTTCTACGAAACGTTTTTTAATATAGTTACAGATGGTTCCGTACGGTACCTATGATACGGAACCTTCTGTCTTTTGAAGAAAAAAAGTTTCGTACTAAACCTTTGCTGCGGAACCTTTGTTCTCAGTTTTTCCTGTAAGGTTCTCTTTGGAACCTTCATTTTACTTAACCAAAAAAGGATCGTCCCGTGTATCGGTGGGAAGATCCTTTTTTGGTTTGGTAAAACTCCTTTTTTTTTACAGTACGAGCTCATTGTGAAAATCGACAGTAAAACAATGTTACAATTCCAAGTTGTTTCTTAGTTTACGTCAAAAACCGAACTAATTATCAACTTTTGATCTACCTTCAATCGCATTACTAATAATTAGTTGTCGCGGTTGTTATGCATATTGTTCATTCCAAATCTTCTCTCTGCTAAACTGAGTAAGATTTGGAAAATAAATCGACGAAAATTCGGCTAAAATTGCATCAAACAATTATTTATCAGGCGAAATATGTGATTGTCCTCGACGTTTGGAAATGGGCTTACGGAGGACAGTTTTTCGTATAAAAAAATGAAGTATATTAATGAACTTCCACATTTTGCACCAATTGGCACATTTGGGTTAAGTTTGGCAATGTTAAATATTAGCAGGAAGACCTGCGTGAACTTCATCCAGCTCACCTTGCTGACATTCGTCTCAGCTGTTACACCAACATTGTGGCCTTTTCTTTGGGTCTAAACAACTCCTGTCACATGTTCAGTAATTGTATTTGTGATAGAAACGCAGGTCGATTATTCCGGCGACCGGATCCGTTGGAATCTGAGCCGGTTTCGGCATAATTCCAGTCGGTTCCAGTCGAATTCAGCAGGTTTCGGTCGGATTCGGCGAGTTCCTTGGCGGCGGATTCTGGTCGGAAGTTTCGAGGAAGTATCCGGCCAGTTCCTGGCCGTTTCCAATTCAAGGTTTGCAGGAAGTGGCCAGAAAATAATCGGAAACTTTGTTTGAAATTCCGACCGGAATCCAGCGCCAAGGAAATCATCGGAAAGTACACTTAACCGATCGGAACCGACCGAGTCACAATGACCTGGGAACTCATAACTAACACAAAGAGCATTTGGGTGAACTTCACCCAGTTCACCCTGCTGACACTCGTCCCAACTGTTCCATCAGCATTTTGGCCTTTTCTTCGACATATGCTATGACAGTGGAAAGTTTTCTGACTACATCTATTACAGAGACTTCGTAAATAACGAAAAAACACGCAAAGTCTCTCATCATATTATATGTCAAATATACAATATGCGTGAATTCTTCTGTAAGTCTGTAATGGAACAACCAATTAGGTTCATCTCCGAACTCGACCGAGATATTAATGAGATAGAGCTATGTAGAAAATTTCAGTTCAATATGACTCTGCTATCGAAAGTTATCGTGTGAACGGACGGACGGACACACTGACTGATTCTAGTAGTGTACTCACTTTTTGAGTGCACAAAAACAACAATTTTGGTTAATTATCTTGAAAAATCCTGTTTTCATTAATCATTTCGATTTCAAGAAAAATGATTTTTCCTTAATTCCGCCACGTCTGCGCGTGTATCTTCGAAGTTCGATATTTTGAAAAAGAAGGCACGAGGGGATGAATCCTTTTGAGGTTTTTCATACCTCATTGAGGTCTACCTGTGGCCCAAAGATAGGATCTAAAACGCTTGAACACATCGGTATGTTCCCTCGTAAGCAGAAAAAGAGACTCATGCAACCCGAAGAAAAAAAAGAAATACAATGTCGCTCGAAGGCAGCGGTGATTTTGCATTCACGTGACAGATTCGTTTAACGATATTTAGCCTTTGTCTCTCGACGCAATTTCTTAAACATAAACAATTTCAGAAAGTAATACGTTCTTTGACAGTACCAGATCCGAAAGAAAAGCAAGAAGGTGGAACATGAAATTAAATCTAATTGAATGAAACACTCTAAAAAAAAATTAGTGCTCCACTGAACCCTCAAAAAAAGTTCCGTGGTTACGAAAAAGTCTTCAGACAGGTTCACGATTACAAAAACGCAATAAAATTTCTACGGAACCATTAATGGATCTTCCCGTNAACCTTAAGGTCTCGCCCTATCGTTTTGTACGAATCCATTAAGGTTTCGTATTTTGTGACCAAACTTAAAAAGGTTCCGTTGTGAGGGTTCGCAGTGTGTGCCCGCCGACCGATCCTTTTTTGGTTTCGTAGATTTTTGAAAAGTATTTTTTTGAACATGTCGACACATTTGGAAGCTTTGGACACCTGCGAAACCTTTTTGATGGGTTTGGTAGAATCATCATCATCATCATTTCCCATAGGCTTAGCGCCCGTTGGGGCCAACCATTTACGAGATCAGATTTCTCCATGCCCGTCTGTCTTGTGCGCGGTGGAACAAGTCTTGTACGTTGCGTCCACTCCATTCTGTGATATCGTCTAGCCACTCTCTGCAAGGCCGTCCTCTTCGAGACTTACCATCCATTCTCGAGAATAGGATGTGTTTGATGAGTCTCTTATCTTCCATTCTGCAGATGTGACCGAATAATCCTAGTTTTCTTTTCTTGATCGTGTCGACTATGGTTTTCTGTCTGGATATCTTGTTTCGGATATCTTCGTTTCGTATCATGTCTTTCCAGCTGATTTTCAGAATCCGTCGATAGCATTTCATTTCGAACGCCAGTAGTTTTTTTCGTGTCGGTCTCTTTCAAAGTCCACGTTTCTGAGGCGTATAACAATACGCTGATGACACAAGTGGTCAGGACTCTAAGCTTATTGTCGATTTTCAATTTCTTGCTGTTCCAAATGTGCTTCAATGAAGCCAACACATCTGTCGCTTTTCCTATTCTCCTTTTGATATCTTCTGAGCAGTCATTGTCCCACGTCAGAAGGCTGCCGAGATATTCAAATCTTTCCACGTTTTCTATGGTTTCACCTGCCACTTCGATACTATCATCAATGTTTCTTTCTCCAGATGCCATGATTTTCGTTTTAGTTGTATTTAGGAGAAGTCCCGCTTGTTCGGCGGCGTTTTTCGTTTCCTCGATCTGTCTTCGTAGTGAGTCAATGTCTTCATCGACGAGATCGATGTCGTCGGCAAATCTCAGGTTGTTTATCAATATTCCGCCGACGTTGACTCCGCAGGTATTCTGCCTCACCTGATCCATTACTCGATCGAGATATGCGATGAAGAGAAGTGGTTAGATCGGATCGCCTTGTCTCGTTCCTACGTTCGTCCGAAACCGCTCTCCATTCTCTTTGCCACTTCGAACAGCTGACTGAGCACTATCATAGGTCTTCTGCAACAGTGTGACCATCTTCGTTTCGACACCGTAGGACTTCAGCGTAGCCCATATTATTTTGTGTTTGATTGTGTCGAACGCCTTTTGAAAGTCGATGAAGCAATTGAAGACTTTCTTTCCCTGTCTCTTTGCCTTCTCGGCCAATAGCCTGAGTGTCAGGATTTGCTGAACGGTATTCCTGTCTTTCCTAAATCCGGCTTGTTCTTCAGAGAGGTAGGGGTCTAACTGTGTTTTAAGTCGGTTTAGTAGCACGGTCAGGAAGACTTTTCCTGTATGATTGATGAGAGAGATTGTTCGATAGTTGCAGCATTGAGAGAGATCTCCTTTCTTTGGTATCGGCACCAGAATAGATTTGGACCATTCTTCTGGTATTGTGCCTTCGTGCCACGCTTTGTTGCACAGCTTGTGGATCTGGCGCGCTAATTGTTCTCCGCCTGCTTGTAGCATCTCTGCCGTGATTCCATCTGAGCCTGGGCTTTTGTTGCATTTGAGCGAGTATATCGCTTTCTGAACCTCTGCGTACAAGATGTCTTGAGGATCTTCATCATTAGGAGGTGTGATCTCTTCGAGTTCTTTGATCACTTCGTTTCCTCCTCCATGATCCTTGTACAGATTGCTACAATACTGTGTCCATCTCTTTGTGATCTCGTCTTTGGACTGAAGCATTTCGCCCTCTGCATTTCGTATGACGTTCAGTCTGGGTACAAATTTGTTCTTTAGGACTTTTATGAGGCTGAATGCCTGTCTAGTATTACCAATCTGAAGACCTTTGTCAACCTCTTCGCATTGGTTCTGTATCCAGTTTTCTTTGTCCTGCCTGGCTGATTTTTTGACTTTTCTGCAGAAGTCTTTGTACAGTCGTGCGTGTTCAATGGAGACGTCTTTCTCCAATCTCAGTTTACGCTTGTCGTCTGCTAGTTTCAGTGTCTCTTCTGAGATCCAAGGTTTTCGACTGATTTTTCTAGCAGGGATAGTTGACTCTGCTGCATTTTTGATAGCCTTTGCTATCTCTGAGGCATATTCTTCCAGATCATCTGTGGAGTCAATGTTTCCTATGTTCCTTTCCAGCGCAGCGCTGTATGATTGCCGTATCGTTTCCTCTCTTAGTCGACTCGCATCGACTCTGTAGCTCTGTTGCGATTTGTTGGACAGTTTCTTAAGTCGAAGTTTGATGTTGCACAGCACTAAAGAATGATCTGAGCTTATGTCTGCGCTCTGAAACGTTCGGCAGTTGATGACTGATGTTTTCCATCTCCGTTGGATGAGAATCAAGTCAATCATATTCTTATGAATGCCATCTGGCGATGCCCATGTCCATTTTCGATTCGGTTTTTGTTCGAATCTCGTGTTGCAGATGAACAGATTGTGTACCGTAGCAAATTCCAGGAGGCGCTCTCCGCGTTCGTTTCTATCGCCATATCCGTATTTTCCCATTACGGATGTCCAATCCGTATTATCATGACCAACTTTAGTATTCCAATCGCCAGTAAGAATGATGATGTCCTTTTTACCTGTCTGAGCTAGTGCATGTTCGATATCGCTGTAGAATGCTTTGATGTCTTCGTCTGAGGATGACGAGGTTGGTGCATATGCGTGTATAACGCTGATGTCAAATGGGGCTGCGGCGAATCTCGCTGCGATGACCCTCGAGCTGATCGGATTGTATCCTTTTAGTGCCTTTTTAGCTTGGGCGCCTAGTAGGAAGCCTACACCTCTCATGTGTAGTTTCTCTTCTCCTGACCAGATGAAATCTCCGTTCGATGTTTCGCCTTTTCCAGTCCGTCGTACTTCCGAGATTCCGATAATGTCGTGTCGGAAACGTTTCATTTCATTTCTGAGCAGTTCTAGTTTTCCAGCAGCCCATAAGGTCTGCACGTTCCATGTGCCAACTGTCAGAGTGTTTTTGACTAGTTTCAGTCTCTGTATGTTTTCGGTCGTATGCTTCGTGTTGATGGGTTTGATGAGTTTTCCAGTAGCCAACTTATCGGCTCTGCCCTGGTCACTCGACAGAGGACGCGGACCTTGTTTACCCGGGCGACGTCCGAGCCGGTATGGATTCGTGTGTTCGTTCATAGCTGGTTTCTTTCGTCTTCTCGCTTTTACCGACGGCGGTATCTGCACCCCTTCCGTCCAACGCTCCTCCTCTGTCCGGACTTGCGACCGGCATAGGAACCACGGATTGTGATTTCTATGGTGGAGTTTTGGTAGAATACCTTTTTTTTCAGTGTATGCGATTACGTTAGATTTCAGTCAGATTTTCGTACAACAAAATCAAGTTGTAATCTGACATTTTGTGCTTGTTAGCGTCATTGGATATTACTTCATGACGCTACCTTCTACATAGTTGTTTTCTTCCATTTCTATACATATACATATACATATACGTACATATATATGTATTTCTTTTTCTCTTTCTTTCCTGTCGTTTTTAGTTTTCGTTTGATCATCATGTCCGTTCTCATGATGATCTCTGTGATTGTATTTCTTCTTTGTTTTCTTCTTTTTCTATTTTTTTTCTCAGATCATCTTCGATCTGTATATATGTTGTTGTTTTTCTCTTTTCCAGCAGTCT